TACCCTTTGGTTGTTTGATGATGCATGGAGGGGATTGTAATCATTGCAATCAAACGGAATAAGATAGGATGAATGTAAAGCTGATGTCCTCCCATGTAAGTTATCACTCAATTCACAATAAAAACAGAAAAAAAAAATCAATGTAAGAATAAAATTTAATTTTATTTAGTTAGCTTTTAATTAGCTCACTCTCTTCACAGGGAGTATCAGGACAGTAAAAGATCATTTTCCAGAACCACATGAGTCCTTCCAGACTTACCTCTCACCGTGAAGACCTGATTTCTTGTTTGATTAGCTTTGCAAGATCAAGATTCTTGATCATGTTAAGGAGGTTTATCGATGCTGTCGGCACACTGCCAGGTTGGGAAACCAGCTGAGGGCTTCTTTGATGGTGGGCTGCTTCACGACACCACTGTCTCTGGCGTTCCTGAGTCTTTATTTCAAGTATCTGCAAATTTGTCTTCACTCTTTGGAGCAGAGTTCTTAGCTTGAAGATGAAATTCAGGAGGTCAGTGAACTTGAATGTGACTAAAATCAAGTCTTTATTTTACTTCACCTCTGACACCGCTGTAGTATTCCCTTGCTTTATGGGGCCCACAGTCGTATTAGCAGCACCTGTGACTTTGTCACCAATAAAAATCTGAGATATTTTGATAACCCATTTTGGTTGTTGTAGAAACTTTGAAATATCATTTACACTCATCAGCCTTTAAAATTATGGTAGTTATTAAACCTGCTGCTAGAAATTGCTATTCAAAGTGATAAGAAGCATGTATATTACCATACCACAAATTAAAAAATATTTTGATTACTTTTTGATTATATTGAATATTTTGATTGCATTTCAGTATAATTGGTTTTCTTTGCAATTCTCTGTATTTTATTGCATATGATTTAAGACATTATTCTGAGCAGGGGCCCACAGGTTTCATTACAATGCCAGTGGGGTGTTGAGGAATGAAAGGGACCAAGAAAGCTGGCCTAGAACAGTTTGGGGAGGGGCATTGCTAAAAACTTCCTACCCGTAAGATGCCCCTTATATTCTACTTAAAGGGTCTTGGGAGAATGACTGAGATTTACTAATCAAAATCTGCTTCTGTGATTGCTTCACTATTTCTTTCTTTTAAAAAATGTATTGTGGTAAAATACATAATAAAAAATTACCGTTTCTACGATGTTTAAGTGTGGTGCTGCAGGCTAATGCTTTGGACTGCAAAGTCCGTTTGAACTTCAAGCTCCTTGAAGTTTTGAACCAGTCGGTTTGAACCAGTCGCTCCTTGGAAACCCTATTCGGGGGTCGCTATGGGTCAGAACTGACTCGACGGCACTTTTAACAAGAACAAAGTATGCATACATTAATTCAATTTGTACCTAATGACAACAACACACCATTCTCATCTTCCTACAACTCCTGATAATCACTAAAACCCTTTGTTTTCTGTATTTGCTTATTCTTGATATTTCATGTAAGTGGGGTCATACAATATTTGTTCTTTTGCGTCTGACTTACTTCACTTAACGTGTTTTCAAGATTCACCCATGTTGTAGCATGTCTGAGAACGTCATTTCTTCTTTTGGCTAAATAATATTCCATTGTATGGAAGCACCACGTTTTGTTTATTGATTCATCCGTTGAATGGGCAAATGCCCATTCTACCTTTTGGTTTTCTGTTTCTTAATTCTGAGCACATGAGAACCCCTCTGTTGTTGATAAGTGTCATCGAGTCAGTTCTGACTCATAGCAACCCTGTACTGGGTTTCCAAGGAGCTGCTGGTGAAGCAGCTTGAAGCACCAACCTGTGGTTAGCAGTCCAGTGAGTTGAGCAGTGGCTGAATTCTCCTCCAAGCCTCAAACCAGAGATCCCACCATACCGTCCTTTTCCCCACTCCCAACACGGCTCAGGAATCCACTCTGTGCCAGTCTCCTAAGCTGCTGCTCTGGCCCAGGTCAGCCTCCCTCTGCACACTTACCCTCACCGGTCCCAGTTCTCTCCCAGCCCCAGAGTGATGTGAATAAACCCGATCAAGCTCAGCTCACAATTCAAACTATCTAGTCTCGCTGAGGCCTTTCCTTTTCAAACCAAGCCCCTTGGCCTGATATTCAACTCCCCCTCAACTTAGCTGGTCTCATGCCCTTGCAGCCTTCGGCCATCTTCTCACAGAGGACCAGAGCACCTCCTCAGCATGGTCCCAGGGCATGGTCTAGCCTCTGTCATGACCATATCATTGATGGGCCCACCTGGTAGCCTGCCCAGCTCAGCTACCCCTGGGGCCCTGCATACTACAGAGTGGGCTATCTGAAGTGTTTGTGAGGAGCAAATGAAACTCCCTCAAAAAACCTGCCGCCATCTGAGCCTGTGATTCCCCCAGAGCCCCATCAAGTCTAGGCTTTTGGGGGAGCAGCCATCTGAGTGAAAATCTGGCCCTGGGGGCAGCACTGTGGATACAAGCAGCCTCCTACCTCATCATTCAGCAGGGGTCCTTCAGCCAATTCTTCTCTGCCGTTGAGTTCACTTTGGCTTGAATTCAAGTGCCTGCCTGGCATGCTTACGGGGGACGCTCTCACTCGAGGGCCCCAATTCTGCAAAGGTGACAACCTTTAGTCTTTGGCCTTTTTCATACCCAGACGCCCATTTTGAGTGTTCAGTATGTAAAGAGACCCCATGTGGATGCCAAGTATTGGGAGGGGGCCAGGGACACTTTGGTCAGTTCCTCTCTGAAGACACTCCTGAACCCTTCCCAAGGGAGGGTGGGCAAAGCCACTGCGGGAGCCAGGATGGAGCCTCAGGCTGGGAGTTTAGCCGTCTTGCTGGAGGGCAGGAAACTGAGACTGAGGTCCCAACTGACTCAGAGGCCAAGTTGGGGTGGGATGAGTACTCACACTTGACCAGGCGTAGACTCCAACCCAACGGACACTGCGCAGAGGGGTTTCCAGATGGAGACACGGGAAGTCAGAGAGCCAGGTGCTCTGCTGAGCCCTGAACTTGCATTCCTCATGCACTGTGCAGCTCCATCACTTCCTGGGTATTTTGTAAGCTGGATGCAGCCAACCAGGGGTGCTGGGCCTCTAAAGATGGGGAAGGGGCTGTGGGTGTCTACTATGGATGGAATTGTGTTGCAAATCCTAACCCTGATACCTGTGGGTGTTTGGTGTACTGCTGTAGGACAAGCACTGTATTGCTAACCAAAAGGTCTGTGGTTCAAACCCACCAGCTGCTTCTCGGAAACTCTTACATAGGGTTGCTGTGTGTTGGAACTGTCTCTTAATGATATCTGTGACTATAATCCCATTTGGGAATGGGGTTTACTTTGGCAGGTTAATGGAGTTCTGGTAGCATAGTGAGTTAACCACAAGGTCAGCAGTTCGAATCTACCAGCAACTCTTTGGGAGAAAGATGAGGCTTGCTGCTTTTGCAAAGATGTGCAGCCTCAGAAATCCTATACAGGGTTGCTATGAATTAGAAGTGACTTAACATCGGTGGAGGGTGTATTTTAAGACAGCCAGTCAACACATCTGGAGGGAAAGAAAGTGGCCATGTGAAGACTGCTGAGGACCCAATGAAAAACAATGGAAAGAGGCAAGGACTCTCTCCTAGAATGGACACAAAGATCCACTTCAGCTCCCAGGGGGCTGAATCCAGATTTCTAGCCTCCTAAAGTCTGAGACTCTGGTGTGGCGCTACAGGATAATGTGCTGGACTGCAGTCAGTTTGAGCTGCAAGGTCGGCAGTTCAAACCCACCAGCTGCTCCTCGGAAACCCTATGTAGACTGGGTCTCTATGGGTGAGTACCAATTCGACAGCACATAATAACAACAAACACAGAAAATAAATTTCTCTACTAAGACCACCCTCTTGTGGTATTTCTGCTAAAACAGCACTAGGAAATGAAGAGAGGAGCTGAGACGCAGGCCTGGGAGATTTAGCTGTGAGAACCGATGCGTAGGCTGAGGTCTGAACAGTGCATCACTGACACATACCCTGCAGGGGCACCTTGGTGATGGGGAGCTAAGGCTGTGGGGCCAGGTAGGGAGCTGAGTTTGGACTGAAGTGTGGGGCTGGGCTTTGGCTAAGCAGTACTCCCAGAGGGCTGGGGTAGCTGAGACGCCAACCAGGAGAGAGTCACAGCTGGGTCTCGGCCTGGGCAGGAGGTGGGAGTAGGGGTGGGTCACTTCCAAGTCTGAGTCTAGGTCAGAGCTGGAAACAGCCTCTCCCATTGGAGAATCCTCCAGTGGGCTAATATTGAGGACACTGCCCCGCCACCACACTGCCAGGTCAGGCCAGGGATCCAAGGACACTGCTCCTCTCTCCTAAAAAATACCCAAACTCATTGCTATCAAGTTAACTCTGTCTCATTGTGACCGGACAGAGCAGATAGCTCGGCCCCATAGATTTCCAAGGCTGTCCTCTTTACAGAAACAGAGCTACCAGTGAGTTGGGACTGGCCACTTTTCAGTTGTTAACAGAGCCCTTAACAGGGGCCAATCTCCTCCTGGTGTGGTGCTGTGGGTTGGCGCACTGGACTGCAAAGTCGGTTTGAAGTGCAAGGTTGACAGCTCAAGCTCACCAGTCACTCCTCGGATACCCTATACACAGTCGCTATGGGTCAGAACCGACTCAATGGCAGTTAACAAGAAAACAATCTCTCCTAACGAGGTTCAAAACCCATTGTGGCATCAAGGCCCCCATGATTCGGCCCCTTCATCATCACTGGAGGAACTCTTCCTTCTCCTTTTTCTCATTCCTTCCCTCAGACCTCGCTCAGGTCACATTCACCAACCACCCACACCCGCCCCCCACCCCCGCTTTATCTCAGCGACTCAGTCAGGCTGCTGGTGGCCTCCCGCTGCTGGCTGGAGTCCGAGCCAGAGCCAGAGGCAGGGAGAAAGGACAACAGGAGGGCCGAGTGCAGTCCCTAAAACAGGCTCTTTAATAACATTTATGTCTTCACTGAAGAGCTTCGCTTCTCCCACCCTGCGCCAGCGGGGCGGCCTGGGGGCACTAGTAGAAGGAATACTGGTTCTCCACAGCTCTGGGACGGCCCCGAGTGCCCTCAGCGCCCCCCTCGGGGGTCTCATCGGAGCCACTGCCCGGGGGGTCCCGTAGACGCTCAGCGCTGTCGCTGCGGGGGCCATCAGCAGCACGTGGGGGCGCAGGCAGGGCAGCGGTGGCCGAGGCGCCTGCGGTGGTGGTGGAGGCGGCGGCGGGCAGCTCAGAGGTTGAGGCTGGTGGAGTGGCAGCCGGCGCAAGGCTGGAGAAATAGTGTTGGCCGGCGGGCTCGCTCCAGCAGGCGGGCACGGCGGGCACAACACTGGGCGCGGGCCCCGGCTCTATAAAGAGGAGGCTGGGCGTCAGTGGGCCTCCCTGCCGGCCCTGCACAGCACCCCTCCCCATCCCCAAGTCTGCGCATGCCGGACAGGGGTGCGGACAGGGGTGTGGAAAGCACACAAGGGGGTGGGCGAGGCTGGGGCAGGACTTGAATCTCGGTTTCCCGATTCCAACCTGGGTCTCTCCTTCCACCAGCCTCCTTACATAATGAACGGATGCGGTAATCCTGGGTGCCAGAAGGCTGTGCATTGCTCACACACAGGCCTCGGCACCCCCACCCTCTGCCCTGCTTTCATCCGTAGCTATGCAGGGGTCTCTGAACACCACCTTGATGAGGTCAGCCACCCTCTGGCCAGACTGGGGTCAGCAGAGCTGGTGCTCACTCCCCCACACTGGGTGGCCACCTGAAGGTCACCCTCGCCCCCTCTGTCTTCTTGTCATCCCTCGGGCCTGATTGGGGGTGTCTTACCAGGCAGGGGACCCTGCGCAAGCACATAGCTTCGAAGGGTGATGTCGGCGGAGCCCCCGGACTCCAGCGGGATGGGGTGGGTATGGAAGTGGCGGAGCATGTCCAGCACAGACTGAAACCACAGGTGCTGTACGTGGCATTGGCCCTGGCCATTCAGGGACAGGCGCAGGTGCTGTAGGCACAGATGAGTGGAATCAGTGACGGACCTAGAATGGACACTTGGCTAATGCTTCCGGGGCGGTTTTGGAGGCCGGATCGGGAGGAGCCACTCCTGTGAATGGAGTAAGTAGCCGGGCTGGGGCTAAATATCATGCGGGACCATCCATACCAAGCCTGCATCCATGTCCTTCATCCCCATCTGTAGTCCCTCCAAGGTCTGAAACCCCCCTCAAAACCAAACCCTCTGCTATTGGGTGGACTCCAACTCATGGTGACCGTGTAGGGCAGGGTAGAACTGCCCCTTACTAAGGCTTCCGAGGCTGCAAATCGTTATGGGACAGTCAGCTTCATCTTTCTCCTGCAGACTGGCTTTTGAACTATCGACCTTGTGGGTAGCAGCCTGATGCTTAACTCATGGCGCCACCAGGGATCCCTTCATGATTCTGAAAGTAAGGATTAATGCCTCCATATTAGTTATCAAAACCAACAGATATGTGTTGGAAGAATTGCAGCCAGAGTGCTCCTTGGAAGCCAGGATGGCCAGACATCGTCTCTCATACTTTGGACGTATTGTCAGGAGGGACCAGTCGCTGGAGAAGGCTATCATGTTTGGTAAAGTTGAGGGTCAGAGAAAAAGAGGAAGACCCCCAACGAGATGGATTGGCACAGTGGCAGCATCAATGGACTCAGGTATAGGAACAATTGTGCGGTTGGCACAGGACTGGGCAGAGTTTATTCTATTGTGCTTAGGGTTCCTGTGAGTGGCTAGTGACTCGATGGCACCTAACAGCATAACAATTAGAGATGGAGAAACTGAGGCACGGGAGGGAGAGTGACTGGCTCTAGTTACCAAGCACAGAGCTGGGAGAAGAGCGCACGGCTGTGTGACTCTCCTACCCTAGCCAGCTAGGGATCTGCCTTCTGTCCCTTACAGAACTAAACCCCAGAAGGGTAGAGACCCCCCCAAGCTTGGCAGGTGTCTCAGGGTGAGATGCCAGGCACCAACTAAGCAAACCCAGGGCAGGGATGCAGCTCCAGTTTCTTAAATGTCTGAAAGCGTGGCCTAGGAAGGCATGGGGCTTCCGGCCCTGGAGGTGAGCAAGATGGGCTAGGGCTCCTGGTGTCCCCTCCCACTAGCGGTCATCACGCTGCTCTGAGAGGTGGGCTGAGGGGAGCAGCAGGTTCAAGGCCTTGCTTTGCCATCCCTGGCTCAGTGGGTTGTACCCACCTCACCTCAGGCTTGGGCACAGCTCAGACCCAGCCTTCTAGGGAGGCGGCATTGCTGTAGGTGGAGCTTGTCGGGCAGCTGCTTTTCAGGAGGTGCCCCAGGGAGGTGCTACTCCCGCTGCCAGGGAGAGTGCTAGGAAGCACTGAGGGACCGTGGGGGCCCTGCAGGTGGACACTGACCACCTACTGCAGGCCAGGAGCAGGAATCCTGGTTCCTCTTCCTCCAATGGGAACTCATGGAAGGAGCTGGAGCTGGTCTCCTTCCTTACAGGAAACATGGTGAGGAACTGTCTTTTCTGTTGTATTTTCATGGGCACCTGGTCTTGTTATTAGCATATGATGCCCCTCCACAGTCTGGGGGCACCTCCACTCTTTTGCTCATGCTGTGTTCTATTGGGGGTCTCCCTTCCCACAGGTCTCCACCTATACAATTCTCTCTTCCACTTCCCCTCTCAGGTCCCAATCTAGCTAGTAGGGCCAGGAGACCCCTTGGCAAGCCTGCTCTCTGGACATGACTTCCTTCCCTGGGCACTGACTTCAGCATAGGGCTGCTCCAGAGCGAGTGTACAGGATGAGGGGCTGTCTGGAAGCGGGGCTCTGAGGACCTTGGCTGATGCCATCCCTAGCCTGGGTGAAGGCCCCTCAGATATTCCAATGCACAGGGTCAAAAGGGACTTGTTCAGTTATAACCCCAGCAGGTGTGTGTGTGGGGGGGTGCCCCCAGCAGGTGGCATCTCTCAAGATCATGGAAAAGCTGGCTCTAGCTGTCTGTAGCCCTTTAATCACGGGGGATGGGAGATTCACACCCTGGCCTAGGGGATGTCATGCAAGCCCCTGCTCACTGCAGCCCGGGGTCCAGGACTACACTAGCTCTCCCATCCCCATGCAGACTTACCTTCGCTTTGCCCTGGAAGTTGAAGGTCAGCACATACTCCCCAGGTCGAGTCTCACTCTGGCGGATTACGAAGAGACCATGGCTCCGTGGGCCCCCCGCAAGGACCAGCTGAGCGGCCTTGACCCGTGACAGTGTCCCGTGGAACCATGGGTAGTCAGAGAGTTCCAGGTCAGGCTCAGAATCTGCCTCAGGCTCCGTACCTTCCTCCCCTGGGGAAGGAGGATTAGTGGGGGAGGGGAGAGGACAGGGACAATCAATGAAATCACGGGTACAGCTTCTCTTTGTCTTTCAACATAATAAAGTGCTGTTTGAATTATTTTACAACTGTGCTTATCTGGCTCAATCCACGAGTTAAACTGAGGCAGAGAGAGACAAGTCATGGAAAAGCTGAAACAAATTGTTTCCTAACTCGGTCCACTGCTCCCCCTCCACCCCCCAGTGTGAGCATCTTCAACCCCCAGGTTCCCTTCTAAAAGCCTCTCCTTCCAGAGCTACTGGGGAGCCGAGGCTCAGGTGGGTTGTGAAGGGGTCCCAGGGAGCCACAGAAGTCCAGGTCTGGGGATGGATCCAGGAGAGGAGGGGCAGGGAGGGCAAGCTGCCCCCACTGGTACCTGTGTTACTGTTATCACTGCCACTGCCACCAGGGGACTCCAAGGTCTGTAGGAAGGTCTCTAGTGGGACACGGACCAGAGACTCCCCGATGGCATCCCGAGAGCGGCCATGTGGAGCGGTCACCACCGCACCCCCAGCTGCTGTTGTCTCTGGGGGCCGGGGCAGGTCAACTGTAGGGCAAGCGGCAGATAAAAAGCATGTCTGTCTGTCCACCCCTGAGTGTCCACCGTCTCCAAGCCCATCCCCTGCCTACCGTCGGCCAGGAGCTCACAGCTACAGGAGGACACGCGGCTGCCCAGACAGCCTCCCCGGGCACAGGAGAGCTCAGCATCTTCCTCACTGTCCCTGTGGATGCAAGGAAGGGCATAGTGCCAGGGAGGCCGGCAGCAGCTGGCAGCCCCTATCCTGCCCTCTGCTCCGCTCCTAGCTCACTCCTTAGTTTCATGTGAGGGACCCAATGTGGAGAGGCCCCAGGTGACTCCCGTCCACCGAGGGGTGGGCTTGCACAGACTTGTTCCAGGGGAGGGGGAGGGACTCAGGGTAGGTGATACCTAGGCAGCTCCCTCCTCTGCTTGGGTTTTGGTCTCCCCATAAGTGCAATGAAGTATCTGGCACCCTGACAACTCCGGAGAGTTGCATAGTGAGGTGCACTTTCAGAGGGGCGAAGGAAAACGTTTGCAGAGCAGATGGTGGGGAGGGTGGCCGGGAGGCTGGGGGCCTGGGTGAGCTCAAGACTTTCCTTATGCTGCTTTAAATGAGGCTGTTAATTAGCAAGCAAGGACCCCTCCCCCTGCAGCCTGGCTCCCCCAGGAGTGGGCTGGAGCTGCTGCCAAGTGTTGTGCTGCTGGCCTGCCTGCCCCATCCCACACGGGCTCCTGACTGCACCTGCCCTACCAGGCTCCCCCTGTTCTGCACACTACCCCCCACCCCCACGATAAACTCACTGCTCTGCCCCTATTCTCTTGGCCTGGCCCAGGCTCCTCCTCCTCTCAGCCACCTCTGACCCCTGGGTTTCGAGGACTCCCGGTATCCCCCTCTCCAGCCCTTTGGGTTCACCCCATAACTGCTCATCCCCTGGTATTCTGAGGGCCCTCAGGGGTGAGGACAAGACTTCTTGTACTCCAGATTCTAAGGCCCAGGCCCTGCGGGGTGGTCCTAGTAAAGCCTGCTGGGGTGGGGGCTGGCCCACACCCATGTAGACAGGGCTAAGATAAGGGGCTGTTTCTCTCTCAAGGAACTCCTGCCCCGACCAGGAGGTTGCACCCATGACGGCTGGATCAGGGGCACACCCCAGTCAGACCCCCACCCCAGGGTCATGTGGGCACTCACCCCGGGTCCACACAGCCCTGGATGTCAGCCACCCACGAATGTTTCTGCAGCGAGTCAATGGTCTCCAGGATGTACTCCGCTCCATTCTCCACCTGGGCAGGCAGAATCCAGCCCTCACACAGTGCTCCAGGCCCACTCAACCCTCAGCATGTTGGCTCCTGACCCCAGGACCCATGGCTGTGTGCTGAGCCAGTCTCACCCTCCTCTACGAAGGCACACTGGTGTGAGCAGCAAAACACTCAGTGGGGCCTGGTCACAACCCCAAACCCAGGGCAGCTCCCGGGTGGAGGCTGCAGCCCACACTCTCAGCAAACCTTTCCTCCCAGCCCAGCTCCTAAGACAGCATCCAGCCCAGCGGATATCAAGGTCTCCAGGCCCACAAAAGCTGGCTGGGGAGGGAAGAGCTAAGCCTAGCATTCCCAATCCATGCCTGGCACCGTGGAGAGGGGCGGGGTCTCGCCACCCTCAGGTCACCCTGAGAAGTTGGCTGTTAACAGAGTCATAGGGTACCAGATACACCTTGCTCACATGCCAATGCTTGGGGTGTCCCTATGATGAGCACTCCCGCCCCCCCCCAATAAGCAGCCTCCAAAAGGGTGGGTGTGTGGGAGGAAGCTCTTCTACAAGCCAGACCCCGCAAGAAACTCATCTCGACAGCCCTGCTGGGAGAGCCTGCATCTTCCCCATTATACAGATAAGAAGACGGAGGCCCAGCGAGGTCACACACATGGTAGTAGCAGTGCTGGGATCTGGACTTAGGTCTCAGACACACATCTCTGCGCTGTGTCCTGCTAGCATCTCAGAACTGGGAGGCTCCACAAGCCTGCTCTGAACAAGCCTGCCCTGAACAGAGGGGAAACTGAGGCCCAGAGTGTGGCTGGCATTCAGTGGCTTGTTGGAGTTGTCTCGGGCATGTCTTACCCAGCAGATAAGATGCCCAGTGGACAGAACTGTGTCTTCAGCCCCAGGGTGTGGGGCTGGTGATATCTGCAAAGTGAATAGGTGAGGTATGACCACACGAATGTTGTTAAGTGCCGTCGAGTCAGCGCTGACTTAGCGATCCTGTATCCAGCAGAACAAAGCACTGCCCAGTCCAGTGCCATCCTCACAATGGTCATGTTTGACCACATTATTGCTGCCACCATGTCAATCCATCTTGTTGGGGGTCTTCCTCATTTTTACGGACCCTCTGCTTTTACCAAGCAAGATGTCCTTTTCCAGGGATGGATCCCTCCTGACAATATGTCCAGAGTAGGTGAGGGGAAGTCTCATTTCAAAGGACATTCTAGCTGTGCTTTCTCTGCCAGTCCTTGGCTCCTCCGGTATTCTCTGCCATCACACAATTATTCATTGCCCAGCTTTTGCATGCATATGAAGTGACTGAAAATCATGGCTTGGTTGAAAATCTTCAACCTCAAAGTGACACCTTTGCTCTTTAATACTTTAAAGAGGTCTTCTGCAGCAGACTTGCCCAATGCAATAAATACATCCTTTGATTTCTTAACTACTACTTTCATCAGCATTGATTGTGGATCCAAGCCCAATGAAATCCTTGACAACTTCAATCTTTTCTCTGTGAGGATATTTTTCTTCTTCTTTACAGTGTGTTGTAATTCATACTGAAGGTTGTATTCTTTGATCTTCATCAGTGAATGTCTCCAGTCCTCTTTGCTTTTAGCAAGAAAGGTTATGTCATCTGCATATTACAGATTATTAATAAGCCTTCCTCCAATCCTGATGTCATGTTTTTCTTCATAGAGTTCAGTTTCTGGGATGATTTCCACAGCATACAGATTGAATAAATACAGTGGAAGGATACAGTGTTGGTGCACATCTTTCCTGATTTTAAACCACAGTGTCCCCTTGTTCTGTTTCAATGACTGCCTTTTGGTCTATGTACAGGTTCCACATGAGTACAATTAGGCACTCTGGAATTCCCATTCTTTACAATGTTATACACAGCTTGCTATTAACCTAAGAGCTGAAAGCCTTTGAACAGCCAATAAAACACAAGTAAACATCTTTCTAGTGCTCCTGCTTTCATCCAACCCCATCTGACATCAGCACTCATTCCACGTCCTCGTGAATTTCAGGCAACTCCCTGTTGATATATTGTTGCAACCGTTTTTTGTTTTTTCTTTTTCCTTTAAGTTTCTATTGTGAATTATGTGGGTTTACATGGGAGAACATCAGCTTCACATTCATCCTTTCGTATTTTATTTCATTGCAATGATTATAATGCCCTCCATGCATCATCAAATAACCAAAGGGTACAACCCACAGGCCTGCCCCCCAGCTGTCAGCACACAGTCCCTCTCCCTCCCTGAGTCCAGTGTCTCCAGTCACTCCATATGTCCACGTCATCATCTCTGTCTGCATCCCTGCCTCTCTGGGTAGGGTCACACTCTCCGCTTTTCTCATTTGATGGTCCCAGGGACCTCCACTCCTGGGCTGCAAAATCACTTATTCCCTTCCTTTTGTCAAAAAACATCTACCTCTACATTTCCAACCCTCACAGTCAGTCCTGATGGCAACTAGTCACTATTGCACCATGAGAGTCTTATCCCCCTCTCCTTTTGCCAGCCCAGTTCCAACACATTGGAAATAATTTAGTGGAGGTTCTACCTACCCCTGCTGTGTGGAACTAGGCTCCCTCTTGAAAGCTTGTAAGCCAGTCGCTTCTTGCCTTCACCTCATTTTGGGTATCCAATGTGCAAGTTGCTCATCCCTGTCAACCCTGTGTACCGAGGGGGTAGGAGTGATCCTTGCTGTAAAGATTTGTTCCCTTTTTTGAGCTACTACATCCATAAGTAGAGGTAAAGTTCATCAAATTGTAGTGGGTTACCCTTTTTTTTTTCCCTTACTCTTTTTTCTTCTTTCTTCTTCTAGTCTGATCATCCAGCCATCGAAGCCAGGTCAAGTGGGTACTATCTGCAAGTATGGGTGTTCTTGTGCATCTCCTCTCACTTCATATCAGCTGGACATTTCACTCTCCGCTCTAGTCCTCTGTGGCCCAAGAGTCCCTGGGTCTTGGCATACTGCTGAACATCCAGGTCTCCACCCGGGTTCACAGGAGTCTATTGAATATGGTTGGACTCAGATCCCAACTTCATTGCCTTTTTTTCCCCCTCTTCCCTTATCGGTGACCAACGTGGTCACCAGCCAGACCACATGCCTGCTTGTGTATTCCCCTTGAGTCCCAGTCTTGGAAGGGAATTTGCTCTGAGGGGACTCTACCACTTGCCTTGATAGCTCCCAGGCGAAAAGCTTACTTGTTCTTGTAGTAATCAATCAGACTGCCATTACTGTTTCTGATTTTTCCTGCTGATCTTTCTTCACAAAGTATCTTCTATTCTTCTAGCCACTCCAGGCTGGTCTACTAGCCCTTTCCAGTAGAAATTTTCCACCTCAGACAATTCTGGATGGGGTTCTGGTCTTATGCAATGCAAAAAAGCTCCACAGGAAGCCTCTTTCACTGGGCAACTTATGACTCCCTTTAAGTATTCCAATCAATTGTAGGCTGAAGACGGACTTACAAGCTTTCTATTATGATGTTTCTGGCTATTCCTTTTACCCCCCTCAAGTGTCTATTTCACAATGGTAGACAAGGGAAACCAAGATTCAAAAGACAGACAAATATCTTAACATTATTCCCCTCTTTTACCCATTCAAACCATGCCTCAATCCCTGTATCCCAAAGCCCTGTTGTCCCAAGGCTGTGCATACCTCATCATTTACCTCTGTCCCACTTAGCCCATGTGAACCTGCCTAACTGTTCTCCTATCTGCCTTGTTCTTCCATTCCCTTCCCCCTTCTTGTGTATTGCTGCCCCCCCCCACCCTAGCACCCTGTGTCTATTCCCTACCCTGTGCTCTATCTTCCCCTCCCTCCCTTCCCTCCTCTCATCCAATACATCTCAGTGATCAGCAATTATATATAATTTTTTTTCCCCCTTTTAGGGTGGGTTCTTTTTCTTAGTCATTTACAATAATGGTCCTATGCAATATTTCTCCTTTTGTGACTGACTAATTTCACTCAGTATAATGTCCCCAAGGTTCATCCATGTTATATGGTGGCTTACAGCTTCCTTGTTGTTCTTCAAGGTAGCATAGTATCCCATTGTGTGTATGTACCACAGTTTGTTTATCTATTCTTCAATTGATGAGCATTTAGGCGCAACTGTTTTTAAAAATAATCTTCAACACAATTTACTTGTGTATGCTATTAATGATATTTTCCAATAATTTCTGTATTCTGTAGAGTGACTTTTCTTTGGAATGGGTACAAACAGGGCTCTTTTTCAGTCAGTTGGCCAGGTAGCTGGCTTCCACATTTCTTGGCTTAGAGTAGTGAGTGCCTCCAGTGTTGCATCAGTTTATTGAAACATTTTAATTGATGTTCTGTCAATTTCCGGAACCTACAGTACAGAGTGGATTTCTTCCTTCAATACCATCAGTTTTGGAACAAACAAGATGGCGGATCGGGTGGAAGTGCAGTGAAGAGTGCCATCAGCAACAACACAGAAAACCGGACCAAGCAGGCTCAGGGGATGGTGCCAGAGCTCTGAACCACATATAAAGGAATATTTAGAAGGTTGGAAGGCTTACAGCTAGTGGAGTTTGTAGCAGAAGCAAGAAATCCATTGCTTTCTAATTCAAGGTGTCAGCTGCTCCTGGAGCCGCCATCTAGGGCAAGATCAAGCGGGGGAAGGATCAGAGCAGCCATGGACACCTGATAAAACCGTGCAGATAAAGGTGTGGACATTTTTTTTTGTATCTGTTCACTGGTCTCTTGCTGTCTGTGCACCTCCATTCTGGTGACTAGAGGGGGTGCCAGAGTGAGTGGACACCCTCAGAGAGTTCTACTATGCCTGTGAACAGATTTTGAAATTTAAAGTGACAGTTTCCACTAAAAACCAAACAGTAGTGCAAAACGGCCACAGCCGGCCCTGAACTGTTTATCACTAGGAAAAAGGCCTGAACAGGGATTGTGGATCAGGATAGGCAAACTGAAAAGGAAATAGGCCAAAAATTAAATCCTGAGTTACATCACAACGACCAACAGTGGCATCTTGAAAATTCTCAGGAAGAAG